ATTAAGAGCATTAGTGACAAGGGTTTTACTAACGATTTAAATTTTATCACTAATAATAATTTGTGATGAAAAATAAAGTTTTAATGATCAATAATTTAGTCACTAAATATGAATTTTCTTGTAGTGAGCTGAATTAACTTAATTAGTTAGAAATATTATCCCTTTTTTTTGGGTTAATTAGTTAGAAATAATTTTTTTTTTTAATTTAATTTCTTGAAGATTGATCACAAAACTTAAATCCTATCTTACACCTTGATACTTGATTATTAATTAGATTTAAAGCTAAAAAGTCCAAACGAAGAAATTGAAAGTTCTGGTGATTGGAGAAGAGGGAAGATTTCCACAAAGTGAAATTAATTCAGAAAATTGTAGGTAATTGATTTCAAAGGCTCCTCATTTGGAAGCTCCTTTAGAGGCTTCAAGCTGTTCAGTCATAAACTGATGATATTTATCTAGTGGAGGCTGGCTGTCCATGACTGCATCGATCTCCTTAAGGTTCCGATCCATTTATATATCATCGGAAACTTCTCTTCCGTTAGCACGTTAACTCCGGAAAACTCCTGTCCGACTATGAACCAAAATGCTAAAACATTCGCCACAATATCCAAGTTTCCAATCTTATCTCCTCCAAAGAATTCTTTTCCTGTAAGCTCATTTTCTAGGATCTTCAGCTGCTCGATAACTTCTTCAACAACCTCCTGATTACTTCTAATCTTCAATTCCTTGCTGTCACCAGCTGCTGCAAAGATAGATCTAAGAGTAATCCTCAACCTAGATGGTCAAAAACATGTACAACATATAGTTACATGGTTAATTTAAATTGATAAATAAGTACTTTTGGAAACTATTCTATCTTTACCTTCTCATCAATGAATTTTGCCCAAAAACGAGAAAGGGCTCTGTCATGGGGATCTTGGGGCAAGATAGGATTGTTTTTCCATGTCTCATCAATGTCCTCGAGAATTGCTAAAGACTCTATGATTGGTTTTTGGTTGTGAACAAGCACAGGGACTTTCTTATGAATGGGGTTGTATTTGAGGAGCAAAGGACTCTTGTTGGAGATATCTTCTTCGATGTATTCATCTGGGATTCCTTTGGGCTTCAGGGCTAATTCGACTCTTCGGGTAAAAGGGCTTGCCTACATGCCAAGTAGCTTTACTTCTTCTGAATTAGCCAAACTTTGTTTTCTGCTTTGAAAAAGATTTTGAGAAAAATGGGGGATTACTGTTTCTTTGGAGTTTGTTGGCATTGTTTATATAGGAGAATTCCAATAATTTCCAGGGATAAACCAATATTAGGGCGGTGCTCTATATTTATCTACATTAATGATTTGATGGCCAGCGGCCCGGCATGGTCTATGGCTCATTCAATTTGGTTCATATCGATCGAAAAGATATATTTGAGGCGGATAATTGTCCTATTCCCTCGCCCTCACTCGAATTGGTTCGCCTATGTGTTGGGAGTTTGGACATAAGACTTTGAATATACTGTCTAGAAGTCTCCTCCTTCTTACTACATCTTCCCCAAGCTTGGTTTTTTTTGTTTTTTGGTGCTTGGGAGCCTTTTGGCTTCCTAAGCTTTTGGGTGTTGGGAAGCCCTCCGGCTTCTCATGCACAATGGAGCTGACTTGTCGTGTCT